GACAAAGTAGGGTTATTAATTTTGGGTCAAAAGATTCATCACTTCTTCGATTTCAGAGTATTCATGTTTCTAAACATATTTGGGATGGACGTAATCACCCAATGTTAAGGGTTATGAAGAGTTAAAATATTCTCGGTGGATTAGAAGGTGTTTCGAAAGAAATTATTCCGCATCTAGAGTTAGCAGGTTTTTATTAGAGTAGCTAACTTGTTTTAGTTTTTCCTAGACGTGGGATTGATTACTACATTAGTAGAGAAGTGGAGGCTTGATATGCACACCTTCCACATACCCCTTAGAAAGTGTATTATTACTCTTCAGGATGTTATATGCTCTTAGGATTACACATAGATGGGAGATCTGTTATAACACCCATTGGAGGTAATTGTGTATATATTGTTGATGATAGCCTAGGTATTAGACCATGATCAGATGCTTTTATAGGGAGTTTCTTGAAGATGAGCTGGTTGGACAAGTAATCGAATCAATGCCAAAAATCATTCTCATGCTGATAAGATTTCTCCTTCAACAATTGCAAAAGCTATTGTAAGGACATAATTGTTTCCATCTTGAGTTGTTGCAATGAGCAATATATGATAATACTTACCATATAAGAATGTCCCAACCACTTGTAATATAGGTTTGCAGAATTTAAAAGCTTCATGACATTGTTTGAATGACCAGAATAACCGTTCAAATACTCTAAACCTGTTATCCACTTGATGACCAATTACATACTCTTTTGTTTCAATTTTATAAACTGATATAGGAGCATGTAATTGTATGTATTCTAACCAACGTGACAATGTAGTGTATGATTCATCACAATCACCAAATACTTTAACAATGACTTTTTTCTTCGCCTTCCAAACTTTTTTATATGAAGTTTTGTATCTAAATTAAGCACATATTTGCTCTTGTATCAATGAAATATTATCGACGGTTCTTCATTCATCATTCCTACATAAAATAAAATTGTTCTAGTTAATAAGAATGTCATTGTAAAAAATAAAAATATAATTAATATTTGTCTTACCAAGAATTCATGAACAAATTAAATCAGAATCTAACTTTTGATGATCTTGAAAAATTCTCAGATTGACACATGTATGTAAACCACCTCATCTAGTAATTTTTCACTTATTTGAATTCTTCAACAATGAAGCCCTCATTCTCCATGGACAATCATTGCTATGGTTTAAGCATTTAACATACAAACATGTTGGTTTAGACTCAACCACAAAATAACTTTGATAAATCTTAATTGCATAATATTTTAATGCATTCTTCACATCTTCTTTACTGTCAAATAACAAGTCAACAAATAAATGATTTCCTTCAACCCATGAAATGACTTCTTCATAATGGTCTTTATTGATTTCTTGATCAGAATATTCCCAATTAATATATTTTCAGTTACTTGTATATTTAAGTTGGAATGAAACTCGACTTCATTATCAGTAGAAGAATAACTTCCTAACAAAATTTCTACTTCATCATCTCCATCAGTGTAACTCTCCATATCTGAGTCTTCATTATCTTCATCAACTTCATTCCTAACTCCTTTATTGTAACAAATTTATCAATTTTAATTCCAACAATTACATATATTACTTAAAAGATATTATAACATAATTAATTTTACCTTTACTATAATCACGACTCACAAGAGTCCCATCGTTTTGTTGTGAAAGTAATAAATTTAAATTCATCATCTGCAAGGGCACTGATGAACTTCCACCAACAGTAATATCTACATATAACTCAATAACATTTATATTAAATTGTTGTTGAAATGCACTTATCATGCAATCAATATTTTCATCATCACATATATCTAAAGCTGTATACTGTCTAATATTTTCATCAATTAAAAAACAAGAAATTAATCTAGAAATAGCTTGATTATGATTAAGCTTAAGTTTTAAATGAATTTTTCTTTTCAATGCTTCAAAATTTATTTCACACTTTATCTGAATCATTTTCTTACTTTCTTCAAAACTTACTCCTTCATTTTCTTAATAGATTCTACCATTCAAATATATATTAATAACAATCCTAGTCATCCTGCAATTTTATAAATAAACTTTATTTAATATTTAATTCTTACAAAAATTAACATAAAAAAATTAAACAATACTCATTCATTAATTTAATAATTTATTTAATTAAAAATAACTAAATTCATAATTTAATAATTAAATAATAAATTTATTAAATTAAACATACTCAATTTTCTTCAAACTTGCTATTTTTTAGTGAAAATGAGAGGTGCAAGTAAAAGGTATATATAATGTTCAAATTTTACCATATTATTTGTAAATTTTTTTTATAAAATGCAACGTGACAAGTTTCTATTTATTTTGTAAAATGGTAGGCAAAATAAGTAACATTTTCACCACTAAAATTACAAATTTAACAAGATGTTGACACGTATTAGGGCCTCATATGTTTCGCAATTCTTGTAGTGAAATTTAAAAAATTAAAATAAAATTTTTGCCATTAACTATGCAAAACTACCTAAGAGGTGACACATGTTACTGTACGTTAATTTCTTAAGTCTCTTAGCAAAATTTAATTAAAAATAATAAAAATATAAAATGTTTCGTCAGCCGCTTTGGTAAAACTCTTTGCCATATGGCTAAAAAACTCTAGACAGAGAAATAGTTTGAAATTAACTATAAATTTATAAATTATTTTTTAAATTACAATATTAAAATAAAAAAGTCATATTTTTTTTCTTTTAGTATATTCTTGAACATATAAACAGTACTTTTTTTTATGTGACCATGTATGTAATTTAAAAAAAAAAATTAACTCAAGAAAATAAAAGAAAAATCAATCAAACATGAGTTAATATATAACAACATATAAAAAAATAAATAATTTTTAAAATAATTAAATTTTAATAAAAATACAAAGATATTTCATTAATTAGTACTAATTAATTTTTTTTATATAGAGATTTAAATTATTCACAATTACCATTTTATTTTCAATCAAATATTACGGAATTAAAATTATTATAAAAAGTTCATTCATTTTGTATTGAACAATGTTTTTCTCTTAAAATAAAAATATAAAAATAAATATATTTATTATAAATATCAATATAAAAAATATATTTACTTATATATAACCAACAATTATGAGAAACATTACAAACTTAATCAAATTGACTTACTCAAAACAAAAAAGTTATGAATTATTTTCAATATTATAATTAAATATAAATAGAAAAATTATGTCAAACCTATTATTGTATTACAAAGTCTTAAATGCACTAAACTTAATACATACATACATAATATATATATATATATATATATATATACATATTATTCATTGCAAATATATTTAAAATTCCTTAAAAAAATATATAATTTTTTTTATAATATATTATTATTATTTTTAATGTCATTTTAAACTTTTTACAAAATATGAACGCATATTAATTATGTAACCATATTTGATCTAATCTAAATTTATCATTATAGGTTGAAGTAGTTAAACAGAATAAAATAATGATAATTTTAGTAATAATTCAACTAAATAAAAAAAATAATCTATGATACCACTTTAAAGCAACGCAATTTTATACCATAATTTATGTTTATTTTTTATAAATAATTATATTGGTACGTAATCAAGAAAATATATATATAAATAATAAATAAATAAATAAATCTTTATTAGATAATGTATTCTTTTTTAAAAAATTACTACAAATTATCACCTTGATTAAACAACTCTTGAGAGATAACATGATTATAAAATATAAAAATAAGATATTAGAAACAACTATTAGTAAATTTTTAAAAGTTATATAAAAATTACTTATATAACTAAAATTAAATTAATTAAACTTATTTAATGATGTAAAAGAAGACGAAGAATTAATCTAATAAAGTTTATCTTTTTATTTATATCAAATTTATTCATCTCAATGTTTACATGTGCTTGAATTTTGAAGTTGGGTTTATTTTCATCGCATCTTGATTTACTAGTTTTTAATCGATTAATGGTCATATGTTTTAAATTTAAAATAATTTAATAATATAAAATAAAAATTTTATAAATATTCATACGAATTGTTACAAATATTACTTTTATAATTCATTTTTTCTTTCAAATATTTTTTTAATACATATTTTTATCAGACAAGTATTAAATTAGTTAATAAAATCATTTAAATAAAAAATTAAGGTAATTAATGCATTATGTTTGTTTGAAACATTTTATGTTTAAAAATTCAATTTTATATACATTCAATTTCAAAAAAATTATTAAATATAATTCATGACTAATAATTTAATTCCGTTTTTATTCTATGGCCACCAACATATACCTCTTATATACCATCAATTCTAATTAAATAATACAAGAATCAGAATCAATCAATTCTCATTGAATTTTAAATTTTATTTTATGAATTTTAACAATATAAATATAAATATGTAAAATATTATATTATAATTTTTAGTAAATTTTTTAAAGATATATCAATATAGATCATTTGTTCAAAATAATTTAGTAAAAAAAATAAAAAAATACATTTAAAATATAACAACTGATAATATTTACATAAATCAACAAATAAAAGTATAAATTAAAAATTAAATTATCTCTTTAATTATTAATTTATATGCAATACATAATTAATTATTTTGATTTATCTTGTAGCTAATTTTAGAGATATTTGTTATTACTCAATTGTCATTAGTTTTATTTTTTCAGATAATTTTTATGAATATCAACGGTTACAAATTTAATATCAATAATTATTTAAATTTATCATATTAATTCTAATAATTTTTTATGAATTTCAATAATTTTACTAATTATGTCTAATCAATTTTCATTATTTTTTTAAAAATATTAATAGTTAGTAGTTACGAAATAAATCTTAATTAGTTTTGTTATAAATCATATATATAAATCAATTGTCATTTTCTTTTCAAAGTTATTTTTGTTAGTGTCAAATGTGTATATATTCAAATTTAATACAAGACCCTATACTTTCATACATACACTAGATGCTTGACAAGTACTCTACGGATCTCTTCCAAATTCCAATTACATTTTTGCCCCACAGATTAGTTAATTTTAAAAAGATTGGTCCTAGAATCACCAGAAAATTTCACTATCAAGTATAAATATCTAAATCATGTAAGAGTTGGATCATCATGATTGAAACAAAAAGTTAAAGCATTGTGTTACATGATCTCACTATCATATCAAAATAATAGGCTTAGGAAATATCTGCTTCTGTTGAATGGATCTTGCGATTGAAAAATCATTTAGGTTCAAGTGAAAAGATACTGAAGTAAGGGAGCAACAACTGCTACGCTTAAACTGTTCCCTAGCAATGCATACCTGTACAAGAAAGATAACTGGTATAACACTAGCAATAGATGCACGAATGTCAATATAACTCAGCAATCCGACTAATTAATCATGCAAAGTGGGTATTCAGAAATAACGGCAATTCCACAACTAAACCACCACTAACAACGAAAAATAAGGTGTTTCTACAGAGGAATGCAAAATATTGTTTAAACAAATAAAATGCCATACCGTTGCTTGAGATTAATGTGCTCTGGAAACTCAAATTCCTCAGGAAAAGAATGTAAGTTTGCAACCTAGGTAAATGAGGACAAATACCTTTCAGATTAGTAATATGCACTGAAATCAAAACGAGAGAACTTTAAGAGACATAAATTCATGTTGAAGCATTCTTGCATACCTAGACATTGACTCACAAGAATGCATGACAATCTTGAGAATAAAGAAAATCCACCCACCTCTCTTGGGGTAAAATATCTAAGGCGCTGCTCCTTCAGTGATGTTTTGTCCCTCTTCATTGGCTACAGCACATTCAAATGTTAAGTCGGGAATGAAAGCAAGAGTGAGACCAGTCTCATAGTCACAGGAATTACTACCAAATAGTTACCCGATCCCTCCCCCTCCTTCCCAACAAAAAAAATGCTGGGTTTGTCAAGATAACTTTTCAATTGGTTCACGATCAATTTCAAGAAAATATCAATTTGGATATCCTTTTCTCAATAAGAAGAAAAGAATAAACGGAAACTAAATGGTGATTTGAAAAAGTGAATATGAAGAAACATATTCTTTAGCATCATAGATAAGATTATATCTTAGTTCATAATCAAAACCAACTAGATATTTTATAACAATCAGTGAAAAACTTTTGACACCCACTGGGGAGCCGTTCCAAGTTTGTATCACTAACTAAGCCCTCGAAAGTCACAATGATGAATTCCTACCTGGACAGTTGCCAAAAGGGATCCAGTTCCCTTCACATATCTGTAATAACTTTTTGTAAAACAGCAACATCGCTTTGAATCAGGATAGACAACATCTAACCTCTTTTAAGGAATGAGATGAGAAATACATAGTAGTCAGATAATAAATGGTGATTTGAACATGCTGTTACCAATTACTGAGGCAAGGATACCCATGGCACTTCCCCACCGTTCTACCAAGCTTGGGTGAACGTAATACTGGTCCAAAGAGTCATATTCATGATCATTACCTTTCCCCAAAGTTCGAGAAGTGTTATTAGATAAACCAATCATTAACGCTGCAGATTCAACAGCTATATCATTAATATGGTTCTTTAATTCAAGAAATTTTGCAATAGGTTGACATGACTGCAACAGTTCATGCCTGTCCTCTTGTGATGAATCATCATTAGCCACAGTATCAAAAAGCTCAAATAATGGCCTTGGAGATTGAATCAGCTGGCTGTTCAAACATTCATTCACAAAAGATGAAGGTTTTCTCTTTGCCTGAAAAAATTATACATGCACAAGTCAACAATTTAAAAAATGTTAATGCAAAAATTTTACGCTTCAACAAGCATGAATCCTAGTTTAAGATATTAAAACAACTAAATCTATCTTTGCCCCCTGATCAGTGAAATGTTATAACGCACATAATAAATCAAGTGATTATCAAGAACTTTCACCATGAAATCAAAGGGCAATAGAAACACCAACATCATCGGCATTGACAACCTTTATGATTACCTTTACAATGAATCTTACTACAACCATCCCTTGAAACAATATTCAATCCAATTCAAAAAGCTTGCAGAAACTGCTTTTTACTAACATTTTCCTCTAGTATTCTGTATTTTTGTCCATGCAGTTATAAATTAGTATCATCTGAATAAAAACCAAATGGCTATCTGGCCCAAAATATCTATCAGATTACTTTGTAAATAATTCAGTCTTTTCTTTTTCCAATTTGTAGCTCCAAAACAACATACCAAAACAGAAAGCATTTTGCTATGTTGTAGATGAAATAATTTTAAAATATAGTATTTTGAAACAGTCAGAGTATAGATCCAATATAAGGTTGAATTCTGCTACACTGAGGATTTAATGTATGATATTTCATTTGTAAAAAGATTTTATAGTAAGTTGATGACACATTGAAGATATCACTAAATCGTAAAGGCCATACTTCATGTAATTCAAACAGTTATATTAGATATTTGGACAACAAACTTAAATATAAAGGATAACTCAATTTAAGTCCATGAGAAGACCTCCATTAGAAACCTTTGCCATAGCAGTGTCAAGGGCCCCTAACAATTTTTTTCGTTTCATTTTGGATAAAGCAGATGACACAACAATTAAATTTCAATTTTCAAAACAAATAAGAAAAATAAGCAGGGTTGCAAAAGATTACAATTATATGATCATATCTCAAAGCATATTGCCTATGGCAGTCTATTCCTCAAAGATATAAACTATATCCCAATTTCTTTTGAAACTACATTTCAGATGAAAAGAACATGCCAAAAATAAAGAAATCTACCAGACAAAAATAACGAGGCCTGGAATATGGGATTCCAAACTGCAAAGGGCTCAGAATGAACTCCTGTGTGATAAAATTTGTTTTTTCCAATATTTCAATGAGTTTTGCATGGGTGTCAGATGTCTGTAACCAAGAAGGGAAGCAAGAAAACGGAAAATAATAATTAGAAGAAATCATTAATGAAATTAACTTGGAGTCTTAGCCAATGAGTCGAATCAAACAAGACAAACCTCAAATCCAACAACATTTTCCACAAATAGCATACTTGGAGGATGCAATAGAAGCGGCATAAGCTCGAGAATCTGAAGAAAAGAAAATGCTCGGGCATCACCAGTGTCCTTCTGAAGACCTAAAACAAGATCATTGAGTAACTTTTTGGCAAACAACGAAGAAAGAGAAAATTCACAGGATGAGAAGAAGAAAAACTCACCTTGTCGTGTGTAAGGTTGGCAGGGAGGAGAAAGAAGCCATACATCAGCACCATACCTGTCCAGATCAGCAGCAGACAGGCATTGAATATTTCCCTAAGTCGATCAACACAAGTTAATCACGATAAGCCTAAATATTTCATATTATATGTATGTCTCAGTAGTCTAAAGTCCAAATTCATCAAGTTTAACAAAGATAAAATGGAAAAAAAAAAAGAGTTTATTTTTAGCTTAGCTTAGCTTAGCTTATCAATTTCATGACCAAATCCCATTTATTCAGAAAAACTAAGAGGAATTTAAACTTTTATAAAATGCGCTCAGAAAAATAACAGAGGAACTACAACTTGAACGCGTAAATGAGCCAAAATTATTAACCTAATCAATCACAATTCATTGATGCACAAACCTTTTAGATCACAATCCATAACTCGATAAATAATAGCATTAATACGTAAACAGAACTCCAGCCCCACAATTTCAGTTCGGACAAACCTGAAAAGGACGATGACCAAAATTATGTTGGTAAACATCGTTTGCCGTGTCATTAATTTCAAACGCTTCCACCACTTGCGCGTTCACCTTGGCCTTCATCAGCGAGTACCTCTTAAACAAACGCAGAAGTATTAACATTTGAAATTGAAGAAAAAAGAGTTGCTTGCATAGATGGATAAGATTAGGACTAAGTGCATACCATGCCGCCGATGCCACTGTAAAACTCCAACACTCTCCGACAGCCATCTGACTCGGACGACGCCTTTGCCATTTCGGTGAACGATGTCAATCTATCAATCGATTTTGACCAAACGAAAATTCTTATGACACCACGCTTCTAATTGCCTCTTGCTAAGCATATAGCATTGAATGATTTAAACACCAAAGACCAAACCACTAGGGTTCGTTGAAAAAATTTAAAATAGTTAACAAATAATAAAACGAAATACACTGAATAGAAAAAACGTTAACCACGTTTTTATTCTTGTAAAAATATTGCAATTTAAAATTAGTCTTTTAAAAAATTTATTAAGATTTAATTATAATATCTTTAAAATATTTTTAACCGTATTGTATTAACATTGGATGAAAAAAGTTTAATTTGCGTCATTATTATTTTTAATATTTCATTATTTAAAAATTTAATAAAAAAATTTATATTACTTTAAAAAATTAATAATTAATCAAAGTCCTTGTAATTGCACAAGCACTCCTTTTTCAATTTGCTTTTGCACCTTGATTTGTTCTTTAAGAGTGAAGTTTTTCTGATTGAAGTTAAAGTCAACATAATTTCTATACATCTTCAAGATTTCACGGTGACTAACCACTCCAGAGTTGGTGAAAGTTCCATATTCCAGCGAGTGACGGAAGTGCACAAGAGTATTTCGCGGTACAACCATCTCTTTTTAAATAAGTTATTCACTTCCTCAAGTAGGGTATTACTAGAAAAGCAAAATTGCTTCTTTTTGTGCTTGTTTTGTTGATAGGACATTCTGCAGATTATGGCTCGATTTACTCCAGTTTGGTCTACAAAGGTTGCTCCAAAGCATAGCTTCACATATCCAAATCGGATACACTATAACCAATCGGAAGATTTTAATATCCTCCATTCTTTTTACAAAAGTATGTGTTTTTTTCAAAGTATTGCTTTTGCATAAGTGATTAATAATTACAACTGAACTGTTGATTGTGACAGTTTAAAAATAAATGGCTAAGATTAAATATTAAAAAGGTTAATAAATGCGGATAAGAATTATTACTGAGCGGGATGAAAAGAGTTAATAACGTAAATCTGATAATTTGTGTAGATGAAACTACATTAACATCATATACTCGATTATGGTTAACACGATTCAATAACGAGAAAATTGTAAAGGGAAGACATTACTTTAGCACCCTATATCTAAATACAGTGTATGTGCAATATGAAAAAGGTGGTCTGACATCAGTTTTAGCATATAACCGATATAAATAGAATGCATGCACAATATGTAAAAGTGGTTGCCTAATAACATCAGTTTTGCCACACAACCGATGTAAATAGAGTCTATGCGCATATGTAGAAGGTGGTTGCCTAATGACATCAGTTTTGCCACGCCACACAATCGATGCAAATAAAGTCCACGCACAAATGTAAGAGGTGGTCGCCTAATGACATTGATTTTATCACACAACCGATACAAAAGTCTACCAGCCATTTGTTACACGGTGATGACAATTTAACATCTCTTAAGTAGTGAACTGTTGTAGAAACTATCCATATTTTATTGTTTTTACTTTAGTGACCAAGGTCGTCAATGTTAGTAGGTTGACTATTTGTGTTGTCCATGTTATTTGCAGGGAAAGGTTTCTATGGCAACACTTTTTTTGCTAAACAGGTCACATCTTTATTACAAAGGATTTGCAAGAAATATGAATTTCTGATATATATTTTAAAATTGCCCCTCCCTTTGTTGTTGTTTCTAACTTCCCATAATCACTGTACCGTATGACAATGATTACATGCACATTATTTCTGTAATATATAGTGCAACACCTTAAAATTCATGTTGTACCACATTAATTATACGATGATCATGTCATAAGTTTGATTGATAATTTACTCTCTAAGTAACTATACCACATTATGTTGTAACTATACCACATTATGTTGTAACTATTATATTTAGAACATTTTAACCTCGACCGGACTTTATTAGTGAAAATGAATTAATTCCAATTTACCGTTAAACTTTTTCCTTTACTTTACAGGAGGTTAATGTTGCATTTATTAATGTCTGTCACACTTGTACATATGTCAATATTCATTGTTGGTTGTGCCACTAGTGTAATGCACAAAACCCAGTAAAATTGTGTTTAAAATTAAAATTATGTAGCTATTCCGATTCCATTCCTGCACTTATTCTGAAGTTGAAGTTGTTATAAATATAATAGAAAACAAGTTTTGCATTGAAAATTTTCTCATCGGTTCTTTAATCGACGATGTACAAACAAATGCAGGTACAAATGATATCAGTTCAACAGAGAACCGATGCAAATACAATGAAATTGTTAAATGTAAAAGGGACACATTTTATAACATGAGCTCACCATCCAACTAATACAAATATGTTTGACTTAATTGTTAAATGTAAAAGGGACACATTTTATAACATGAGTAAACAAATTTACATTTGTTAACTATCAACCTGTTGCAAAAACTATCCAATTTTGCGAAGACTTACACAATCGATTTCATTGTAGTTACATAGTCGCCTGCTTATTCATGTAGTCTGGCAACACAATCCATAACAATTTGTACCATTGCACACAACACTAGTCATGAAATATACCAAATTTGCATAATAATTTTCATTCTTTATTATATTTTATATTTGACCTACAGTTCAAGTATGCAAATGTCATATAATCGTTTGTATACCAACTGACATAGAATAATGTCAGTTTGTTCGTTCAGTCTAGATACGCTGACATTAACATTAACAATTTATCCACATGTGTATCGACCATCAATATTAATGAATCTTAATTAAGCTATATTAAGCACCATTTATAAACGTTACATGAATAAATAAGAGTTCAAATTACCATGAAATGACTATGTCTTTAAAATATTATCACGTGTGTTTTTTTCACTAACAGGCTTTGAAATATATTGTAATTTACAACACAAAAATAACCTAATAAACAACACAAACACAGGAATTAAACTGTCATTCTTGATTGATGAGGACGACGATGATCATTTTCCATAAACCCTCCACATTTCTTTTGACTTTGTTTCCACTAATCTTTGTAGATCATTAAACGGATGTATTAACAACGATAACATTGTCTTCATCTGTACTCTAACTTGAATTTTCATAACTCAACGTTGTTGTTCACCTTACTTTATTCCACGACTTATACCACAAACTTGTATAAACTGACATTTTCACCTTTCAATTTAGAATAAAGAGTTCTGCAATATATTAATCTTTTATAATCTTACATTGAATGACAGAAAAAATTAATGAAAACAGCAACATAACGCTGAAGATGAAGAGAACAAGATAACAAATACCAACAAGAAGAAGAGGAAGAAAACACCAAAAAATAATAGAAACATGAAATTACCAATATATCCTTTTATAAATCTAACTTAAATAACCGATATCCTGTAATTTATTCTTAACCAGTCGATTAAAATCAACTATCTATAAATATGATAACTTTTACAAAAATTTTATTTTCTTTACTTTTTACTAAAAAAGGGAGGATATTAGAATCCTCTAACCAATCACTTATACACTTTTAGGCTCATTGGTTTCATAGTCCATCAAAAGCTAGGTTCCTTAAAATCAATTCTGACAATGTTTATACCATCACTAAGTAACTTCCAAGATATACTCGCTAAAGTAAAAACACACTTCGTAGTGCAAAAACTATAAAAAATTTATATTCATAAAATTAATTTACACTGTCAACTCTCTTTATTAAGTAACGAGGTAGATAATAGATTTTAAGTTCATTGTCATGTCATTTAATTATTTTTAAGCTTAAACATATATTTAGTCCTTATAAACATAAATATAATTTATGATAAATTCTTGAAATATTTTTTTTATTATGATTTAGTCTTTTCTATCGACCTATTTTTTGTTAAGTGCTAAATTGGTTGACAAAAATCAACTCAACACTCTCACCCATCACATTATTTAGTTTTTTAAATATTTTATATTTAATTATAATTTTAGTATCTATAAATGTAACATATTTTATAATAAATACTTATAAAGTTTTTTGAACTTTTCTTCTAATGGTTTCAGGTGCTCCACTGACAAGTTATATGCATTTACGTTGGGATTCTCAACAAGATACAAATCCTTCGATCCATTGTCAATATGCTCATTAAATTTTTTAAATCTCAAAAATCGACGGAGAAGAAGAAGACAATGAATGAGAAGAAAATTAAAGTTTCAGAATTTTTTTTAATAAATATTTAAAGTATATTTAGAAACTTGTTTATAAATATTAATTTTAAATAATAAAATATTAAAAAAACTCAATTATCAACCACATGCACCCGCTCACTAACCCCAAATCCAAAATCCTAATCCCTAATTCCATCCCAATTGATCTCACCTCTTTTTCTCATTAATTCTTCCTCAAAATGGTTTCTAAACTCTCAATTTCACAGTGAAACTCTAATTTCCTTATTTGTAATGGTGATTGAAAAGAAGGTTGATTTGTAGAACCTTAATTTCATCCATTTGATTCTTGAATTTTTCACTTTTCTCAAAAACTTGAGCATTTTACTTGGTTATTAAGTCATCTTGCTAGATATTAACTTGTTGGTATTTTGGTGAGAGCTATTTAATAGAAGAGGTTTTTAATATGTTAAAATAAAAAAAAAAAAGAAAAAAAAATAGAGACTTGTTTTATAAATATTTATATTTAAATAATTAAAATATTAAAAATAATTAAATAATATGACAATAATAATTTAAAATTCTATTACTTAACTTATTCCTTAACAAAAGATATAATAAAAATTAAATTTATATATTTTAAAAATGTTAAAAAATAACCTAAATCTTAACAAATATTTTTTAAAGATTTATTTTAAATAATATTATTTTTATAAAAATAAACAAATATAATTAAACCTTCTATTTTAAATACTTTTTCATTGTTATTAGTTTTTTTAACATTTACTTTTATTTTATGATACTCTTTTGACTGTGATAAAATAAAATTAAAAGATTTTTAGGGCCAAGTAGTTAACCAAACCCCTCACAGTTGACAGGCTCAGACCTTGAGGGGAAGGGAAGAGAAGGAAGCGACAGATAGAAAGCGGTGGTTCAGGTGCTGGCGTTCCTCTCAAACGTCGACATGGAAAACGACGACGTCGACATGCAGCCAGCTGAGGCCAACGAAGCGGTAATGGTTTTCGTTTCTTATTTTTCTCCGCATTTGCCTAATTTCGTTGAATCAGTCTTCGTTTTGGTGCGCACGATGTTCAATACCCAACCCTAATTTGTTCGTTAATCATTGTGAAATGGATTTGGTGCAGGAATTGGATGACATGAAGAAGCGCTTGAAGGAGATGGAAGATGAAGCTGCCGCTTTGAGAGAGATGCAAGCCAAGGTCGAGAAGGAGATGGGATCTGTGCAAGGTGATTTTTTTCCTTGCATTTTTCTCGAAGATTTATTTTTGCAACTTTTATAAAGAATGGATACAAGAAGATCCTAGAGTCTGATATGCGTTGAGTCCAATTGGAGGTGTACAAAGTTGGAATTAACTCTTTTTTTTTTTTTAAAAAGAGTTCTGCATTAATGATATAAGTCGTAACTTGTTTGCGTAGAAGATCTTTGTGTTGTACTTTTGGTTTGAAATGTTTTAATTGATAAACTACCAAATTAGGATTTAGCTTGTTACTTGGAAATGGGGAGGGCACTCTAACTAGATTAATTACATGGTAAGCCGTCTCCTTGTGCTCATTTGAGATATTCATATAACGAACTGATTCAAGCTAAATTCTGTTAACTTTTGTTTGAGATTTCATGAAAAGCTTTTGCTTTAATGCTAGATGCTACTAATTTTATTTCAGTTAATTTTTTCCCTCTCGTTTTCTTTCTCCTTTTAACTGTATTTCTCCTTGCTCTTGTACAATATTGAGACCTTTTGATTCACTATATTTCTGAAAATTTGATTTTTGACGGAGCTTAATAGGGTCGTGTGATCTATGTAGTCGACTTCACCTAGTGGGATAAGACTTAGTTGTTATTGTTGTATTTAATACATAGCATATATTATTACACTGTATTGTTGGACTTGATCTCTGTTATTGATTCTTATCTCCAAACAGATCCCACTACTGCTTCTGCAAGTCAGGCAAATAGAGAGGAAATAGATTCTCGATCAGTCTTTGTAGGCAATGTGAGCTCTCTCTTCCCCTGTTTATATGAGAAAATTATTGTACTTAGTTGTCTTTTGTCATGATTCATTATATGGTCTAAGAATATTAATGTCATAACTTTTGTCTGAAAGTGATTGATTCAATTATGAGCCAAGGTTTATTGGACGTTAAATACATAGGAATTTTGGACTTCATATTGTATTCTGTAAAGTTCAGCTCTTTGTTTGATGATGAATGTGCTTCTGCTATTTTGAAGTTTCATTGTATTTCCAAGTGGTGGCATCCTGCTTTGACATAATGTTTTGACTACAATCGCAGGTCATGCTTCCATCTACAAGTTTTCTGGTATTGTAATGCTGCTGTTGAAAGTATTATGAGAAATGTTAGAATGCATGAAATTAACAAAATGAGTGGAAAAACAAAATATGTAACATAAAAGAAACATTGAGGGAGAGAGGAGAGGACAAAATGTTAAAGAATTATTTGTTAAGGAAAATGAGGTTTGTAGTTTTGTGAAATTACATATTTTGATGGATTGAGGACAGGAAAGATATAAAGAATTTAAACAAAAAGAAAATGAAGCTGTATACAAGTGAAAGTGAAAAAGAGAAGTCTATAGCTAGGAAGTTTTTATTAATGTAGTTTCCACTTTCCAAGTTTCTGCAGCAGGATTGGCAGAGGAATGAATTATGGATTAGATTCAAGATTGAGAATCTGGACTCTTACTGGTGGGAAGGACTTTATGGGTAAATAATTAGGCATGGGTATCTGTCATTTTAATTGCAAAACCAAAGGAAACTTTTAGTGCTGCCTACTTGCCTAGGGCTCAAGAAATATGTAAGCATTCTTTTCTAATGGTGAGGGGCTGTTGTCATTCTCCCATTCTACTTTGGGATAAAAACAAATTTCTTTTCGGCTATTATCTTTTCATTTTCTGCCCTTCTCTAATATACTCCATACCACAAAACTGAAGGAAATTTGGAAAAGTAGAAGGGTAGCAAGAATGTGGGTGGTGCACTTCAGAGAGTAGGATTCATAAAATCATAGATCCTAACTAGGATTGGACAAGAGGCTTCTTGATGACATTTTTAATATGAGAAGAAACGGAAATTAAATGGTAGAAACAGGGATTGACCAAAAGAATGGTATAAACAAGGCATCACAAAAGCATCATCCACGGACCAGCAGATCACCAAAACTTTACATGCAAACACAAACAAATCAGCACCTATCCACAAATCAGCTGATTACAGAAATGGAGTAAAGTTGTGATTGCAGAAGTCAACTTGGATGTCATTCACTCAGAAACAGCAGCACCCAAAATTCAGTCTCCCAAGGTCACACATCAAGGCACCCATGTCAAGGTTGCAGCAAATCTTCAAATGACACAGCAGCAGCAAGGGTTTGAAGATATTGGGCTGGAATGCTTTTTTTATGAGAGGCTTGACCCATGCCAACAAAACTACCTTGCTGTGAAAATGCTGCTGAGCATGCTCAAACCCCGTTGGTTTCCAGTATGCAAATTTTGTTGTGTTCTGACCTGGGTTTTTTTTTTTTTTTTTTTTTTGGGTTGGGGGTGGGGGTGGGGGTGGCATTCCAAACACGAGAAGCATGATTCTACTAGTTGGAATGCGAGCAAATTACTTAGTGGATAACTGGGGATGAAAAAAGAAACATTTTTTTATTTTTATATAGTCCAAGGACCTGAGTAATATATTTTTGATTTATGGAATTCCACTTCCTAGATTTTTTTTCATATGTTTATCTACTGGCACTCTGTTCAGTGTGTACCTTACAATATAGCGGATGAATCCTGCTGCTTGTGATCACATAGGCTGGGGCAAAAGGATGTTTTCCCCTGAAAGTTTCTTGCATGCTGACATGTCCATGTTTCAGACATAATGCCAGGCTGCTATGAGATGAATTTAGTTCTTCCTCAATGTTAGAAAGGCAAAGCAAAACTATTACATTGTTGGTGAAAGATGTGAATTTGCTGTATGTTATGTTATGAACCTTTTTTTTCTGTTGGAAATTAACAGACTTGCTCTATAAGCCCACATTTTCTTCTATTTATTATAAATTGTAATGATAATGTTGCCAAAACCAATTTTGGCATAGTTGTTTGCAACTTAACTTGCAAGAAGGGTGTAGTTGTTCTGTTAAAGAAGGTTGATTTTCATCATTTTGGCTCTGTAATAGTGATTTGACAGCTGTTACAAAAAGTTCCTATAAATGTGTATACTGTGCCTACTTCAGATGGTTTTGGTGACAAGGCCCGTTGAATCTTCAGAAATTTACATTTTTATTAAATGTTGCATTGATATTTATTGACAGTAAGTAATAGTATCTGGTTGTACTAATAGACCAGAAATGCATAACTTTCATCTTTTAACCTCAAAGGTTGGTGTTAACAATTACTTGAAAACATTCTACTACTACATCATGAATGTTTTACTTGTTGATTTGCTCTGGTATAATCTCATGGATTTGGTATTCTCCACAGGTGGACTATTCATGTACTCCTGAAGAAGTGCAGCAGCATTTTCAATCATGTGGAACAGTAAACAGAGTCACCATTCGGACTGATAAGTTTGGCCAACCCAAGGGTTATGCTTATGTAGAGTTCCTTGAGGCCGAGGCTGTTCAGGAGGCCCTTTTACTGAATGAATCTGAACTTCATGGACGACAATTAAAGGTTAGAGCTAGTCGCTCTCGCTGTTGAAAAATATCGCTTCCCCTGTTTATTGTAATCATCTTTGATTATTTGAACATTTTTCAGGTAACAGCTAAAAGGACTAACATACCAGGGATGAAGCAGTATCGTCCCCGCCGGTCCAATCCTTACATGGGGTTTCGAGGCAGAGCCCCATATGCACCTCCTTTTGTCTATTCTCCATATGGATATGGGTATTTTACACTCAATTCCTGCCTTTCTAATGTGTTTTCTTTTTATGTTGTAACATCATTTTAATGGCATTTCTCGGTTAATTGCAGAAAGGTTCCAAGGTTCAGAATGCCAATGCGCTACAGCCCCTACTATTGATTGTCCAACTCTGGTAGGATGGACAGAATGGCGCCTTTCTCCTCACTAGTAGTATCATGGTCGGAGTATTGGCCATTTAATGAGGAATATTCAACCACCCGAACGGTTGTGGTTGGTTCTGTGAGGATTAAGCATTGACTTAACATCAAACCATGTAAAATTGTGGTGTTTGCACCTGCTTTGCTTTAGTATCGGCATATTAAATTAAGTTCTTGTAAAAGTATCCTTTGCAAGTGTGGTTAATGCATGGGTTTTGGGTGTATTATTTTATTTATTCTTCTTGCATTGTAATTAATATCCTTTAATTCTGTATGAACAGCCGGGCGAGCATTACTCATAAGGCTGCCTGTCTTTCTCCTGTCAAAACTCAAACCTACGGTAATCCTTTTACTTTTGGGTAAAACCTGTGCAAAGTGTGTCAAAAAATCACATTATTTTACTTCAACATCTCACACTCACATTGCCAGTATCTAGGTAATCACAAGAAAGATGATTCTAACGTGTTTATGCCTGAAAGCGATGGCATGTATGTGTGATGTAATTTTCCTATAAATAATTAATTGACACGTAAGATGTCTAAGTTTCTTTTAATGATTAAGCACATGTTTGGAACAACGTTATTTCTGATCTTATGCCTGAGTGGTTAAATAAAACGTATTTTACCCATATCCTGGAGTCTAACTAGGAACATGGGAAATCTCACGAGTCATTGATGAGCAGATAGTCTTGTATATATGTTGGCAACATTATATAGCCATTATTTGCAGTCTTGTATTATCAACAAAGAAAACAGAGATAAGTAATCAGCGTTGATAAAAAGAAAAGGAAATAAATTTTAACATTATATTAGTATTTAACCGTGTTTATGTATAAAAGTGATGATAAGTGGTAGATTTTAGTGAACTCTATCCCTCCTGGAGATCAAGCGTACATAATATAAAAAATGAATTTCTTTATTTTTTAATATTATTTAAAAATTATTAAAATCATATTTTTTTAAATAATTTCTGCGTCTGAAGTCTTTTTAGCCACTTCACTATAACATTTTCAAATTCTTATTATTCTTATTTAAATAATAATGCTAATGTCTCAATGAAATTAGAGAGTAAAAAATAGATAAGAAATTAGAATTTGGTATACAAATAGTAAAATTTGACGAAAACCAAGCTTATTTAAGGAAAGATTGTGAGATGGAAGCATGGTGATATCTAAGTAAGAGGGGTGAATTTTTTTCAAATTGAATTAGTTGATTCACATTCATCTAAGACAAGAAATACATGGATTATATTTAGTTATGAGAAAACAGAAATAAGAATTAAAATACAAGTTACAAAATTAGCCAAAAACAAGAATTAGTTCAAAATAGGCCTTAAATGTGGAAAACTTTTGCAACAAATCAAAGACTCAAAACAAGAACCAATTGCACAACCAAACTCAATGGAAAGATAAGTAACAGTACATTAGTACATGCATTTAATAGGTTATCTAAATTGGATGAAAGGACCAATAAGAAAAGAGGACAAGTAACTGAAGTCCATAAAGATGATGAAGAATCTTTACTAAAGTAAGAATTAGTTTACATGAAATGGGAAGAAGTGAACCATGCCATATATTCTTGGAAATGGACTAAAAAGTGTAATGAAATGAATTAAAGGAACCATAAAAATTAAGATGCAATTGGATAAGAAATCAAGGTACAAATGATAATTAAGGAAGCAATTAAGGCCTTGGAATTTTGTGGTCACTTTAGCCATGCAAGACAAGCTTAAAGTAGATCACTTCGTGAAGCAACGACACTAGGCATATGTGGGAGAGTATAGTTGTATAACACTTAAAAGTATATTTAGGCAAGAGAAAAAAAATAAAAAGAGACATGTACCAAGTAAACTATTTTCACGTGAAAATAAGGCTATTTCATGCAAAGAAAGGGCTTTCACCAAACTTAGTCATTTTGCACCTTCCAAACGCTTTATTGATGACAATGTACACCACTTAAACCCACAAGGCTGACCCTCACCCCCAACCTACCATAAAGACCCCATTTAAGGCATTAAGTCCTTAACAAACAAAACCTACCTCACCCAAAATCAACCAGCAACCAACTTTCTAACAAGGAGATTTGGAGCACATGGACTTGTTGACTCAAAGGAGGAGTAAAGAGCATCCAAAAGTAGGGATGACAATGGGTAGGGTATGGGTAGGGTACTACAGTACCCATCCCCATACCCGCGTTTTAAAAAAATACTCGTACCCGGACCCATACCCGCGTGGGTATGAACATTAATCCCCGTATCCGTACTCTCTGGGTACCCGCATACCCGTCTTGTACCCATTACCCGCATTTGTTTGAAAAAAAAATATTTATAAAGAAAAATATGTTTATATAATTTCACATAAGTAGCATAATAATACAAAAATTCAATATGTAGTTGTCGAATAAGGTACAAATATAGATAAAAAAACAAATATTCAAAGATCATAAATGTTAAATGTATCTTAATATAATAATTTTCTAAACTAAAATTCTTAGAAACAATAAGTAAAACTAAACATACAAGTTATTTGTCAGTGATAATCCTATCTTGTGTGAGATTTGATTGATTGGTAATGTCAGAATAACAACGAAATAGATTTGTACAATGGTTGTCCTTTCGTGTGGGATCACTTAGTAACCTCTTGTGACGGCATTAACAACTAACTCTAATGAATAACATTTCATAGTTATTAAGTTTTAGTGAGACAAACATTGAGAATGAGAATAGAGTTAGAGTAGAGAAGTTCAATACTAACAATAGAAAGTTGATACATAAAATATTTTTTTTAACTTTTGAATTTGAAATTGTAAGAAAAATAATAGATTTAATTAAAATAATATAATATAATTAATATATATATATATATATATATATATATTAATACTAGTATTTTTTAACTCATATACTATACGAAAGTATTTTATCAAAAATATAAATTTTTGAAAAATTATTTTAGTGAATTAAATATTTATAATGTATATAAATTTAAAAAAAAATTTGAATAAAAGATAAATAGTTACAATAAAATTTTATAATAAAGAAATATACGTGTATATTAAAAAAATTATACTTTTTTATCTTAAAAAAATTAACAATAATTTTTTATATTTATATCTTTTCAAAAACTTCTTTGAATGTGAATAAATAGTAAGAATAATATTATTTAAATTCAATAGATTATAGTTGTGTTTGTAATACATATGTTGCATAGAAAAATATTATTTTAAATTAAAATATGAAAATAAAATTTAAATATTATTAATAAATAATAAGTTTACGGTAATAGTAGGTGATTGTAAAATTTATAAAATATTTATAATATATTTATTATTTATCATTCACTTTATGATTTAAACATCAATATGATTTTATTAACAAAAATATTTGTGTAAAAAATATTTTATGTGTGTCATATATAAATAATATTTTTAAAAAAAGTCAATCTCATATTAACTATGTAATAATTAAATTGTGTTAACCTAATTAAATGATATAAAATAGTAAATAAATTTTCTATTAAAAATATAAACCAAAATAAATTTTTTGGTTTACTTTATTATTAAATATATTTTTATATTAATCTTATATAACTTCACGTAAGTAATATAATAATACAAAAATTCAATTCATAATTGTAGAATAAATTTTAAGCATATATATATATATATATGCGGGTATTGGGCGGGGTGGGTACTTAGATACCCATACCCGCACCCATCCCCATTAAAATTTGCGAGTTTTTACTCACACCCATACCCGTACCCGTATAGCGGGTAAATACCCTACCCATTGTGGGTAAATTTTGCGGGTGCCCATCGGGTATTTTACCCATTGCCATCCCTATCCAAAAGGAAGAGAATAGGTATATGAGAAGAAGAGGAGGAGCTATTTTTAAGGAGACTCATAAAAAATCAACCTAAAAACAAGTAAAGGATGAATATTTATTCATAATCTAAGGGAATACCCTTGCTAAATGGATTTTTGTGTCAAGGAGAACCATTAATCCTTTTTATTTATTGCTAACATTCATAATCATAATTTTGGAATATAGAAATAACTTGTTGGGAAAATAAAAATTAAAAAAACCATTTAAAATTGTGAAAATAAAAATTTCTATAGTAAAACTTCAAAGAAATTGTATGTACTCAATTTAAGGAAATTTTCTTTGTGAACAATTCTATATTATGTGTAATACGTATGTTATATAATAAAATAAGTGAAACTATGCTTTGGAATCTCTAAGATAACAACCTATAATTTTTTTTTATAAATTTTAATGTTTTCTGTGTAATATTACATTCTGATTTTTGTATTGCTTTGATATGAGGGAAATAATTTTCTAAAAGTCTTAGTTTGCACTACATGTGGTATGAATATAATAGTATTAATATTAGACTTGTTATTTGGAAATTAGATGCCCTTGGTTGTTAATAAAAAAAAAGTTTCCCGCAAAATTTTATGAAACATTACAATTTTAGGCAAATATGACTATTTTGATGTCATTTTTGTTTCTAATGTATTTTTAAAATATAAAAATTATACTGTTAAACTAGAATATATATTTTTTTTATATTTCTAGACTTAATTTAAATATCTTGAAATTAAATCATATATTTAAATGAATTTTTGGTAATTCCTAAAAAAGCTTTTGAATAAAATTGAACTTTAAACTAAGGAAAACATGTGAATGAAATTTTGAAAATTTTATTCTTATTGTGTAGACTAGACCGAGACCTAAGTAAAATAATTTAAGGGATAATAGAATAAATTAAAAAATTTGGACCTTAAAATAAGACGACTTAGAACTTATGTTGCTAGTTTATCTTTTATATTATTATGTGTGTATGATTTAGTGTTACTATCTAAACTTTTTATTTTCTCTTTTTATGTATTAAAGTTGAATAACTAGAAGAGAATTAGAATGGTTTGTAACCTATATGCACTTTGCTATTATTTCATTTTTATGACATTACACACACATAATATAGATAGGGATGTCTTAGTCACCGTAAGTTCTGTATATGCTAAGTATGAAACTATAAAATTTTGACACGTGTATAAATTGTCACAAGCTTCATATGTTGAAGGGACAAAACACATTTTTTTAATAAATTTGAACTTTGACAGCGGAGAATGTAACACCCTCGTTTTGTTATTATTATTGTTGTATTTTATGTTATTTATTTGTGTATGTTGATTAGAATTAGGAGAGTTTAAGTGATGTAAACTATCAGATATCTCACAGTAGCGAGATATCTCTTGCTGTAGTGAGAAAAATCATATAGAATTAGACTTTTTAGAGCTTTCTCGCTGTAACGAGAGATCCTCGTAATAGTGAGAAGTAGATAAAGATGACCCAACAATATTCTTACTGTAGCCATAATGATAGACAATAAGAGGAAAATGTTGTTTGATTTTTTTGCTGTAAAAAGAGACAGCTCGCTGTAACGAGAGTGTCATGAGTTAAAGGGTATTTAAGAATTTTCAACCTAGACAACTTGGATTACAATTCAAGTTTCAACCTTCTCTCCATTCTCTCTTATCTCTCACTC